GATGAAAATTCTAAGTATGGTTTTTAATGCGTGTGTTTTAGACCATTTGACTTTACTTTGTAAAGTCAAAATATCATAAGTTGAACCATCGGTTAAATCAGGGACCATCTGTATGCATAGAACAGCCTCCTGCCCTCATGGAGTTCACAGCATAGAAGGGGAAACACATATAAATAACAAAACTAGAAAAATAAATAAATAAATAAATAACAATACTAGAGAGTGATAGGTGTGTCTTTGTATAAGGAGATACAGGTTTCCCCCACTATCCAAAAGTAGAGTGTTCTATGAAACCTTTCAAAAGCCGAAACAGCATAAAGCGAAGAGTACCTCCCACTTTCCAAAAGTTGGCAATACGCTACTTCACTTTAACAAAAGACCCATTACTAGTACAGTAACAGCTTTTTTGTAAAAGCAAAAATCCTCTTCAGAATTCTTTTGGTTAACAAAACCAGATACTAATATAGGTCTTTCATAAAAGTAAAATGGCAAAACACCAACTTTTGGAAAGCAGGGGACACCTGTACGCTGACAATGCATAAAATATGAAAAGTACAGGCAAGAAACTAGAAGCCTATGAAACTGATGCAAAATAATACTTAAACAGTCAAAAATGTGGATGATTGAATTTTATGATACAGTAGTACATCAGGGATCCAAAATGGGGGGTGAGTCTGCTAGGACCAATGAATTTCTCTACGCTGTGTTTGGAGAAAGCATAGCAAAGACAGAACCCTGAAATACATTTATTCAACAGCACGGTATTTGCCAAAAACTGACTAGCAATATACAAAATACTTATTTAAAATTAATATTCCTTGATCATAAACTGGCTATAGAGTATTTGCTCTTTACTGTCTTTTTTTATTCAAGTATAATTAACATACAGTGTTACATTAGTTTCAGATGTTCAATATAATGATTCAATAATTCTGTACATTTCTCAGGGCTCATCAAGACTGCTTTAGTATCATTCCATGACTAAATTAATCTTTCTATGGAAAATCTCAGAACTCTTGATAGTGTAACTTCCAATGTTTACAAATGCATTTTTAATTTAACTTTCAATACCCAATAGCAAAAATAAAATATAATTCAATATGAAAAGACTTACATGTCAATATAAACTAAAATGCAGGAAATTCTCTCTTAATATAAGTAAATGTGGTTTTGTTAATACTAAGGACTTCCATGATTCTAAGATGCAATTACATATTTTTAAAGTAAATTTAGTTCAAATGCAGAATATACCTTTTGTGAAATTCTAAGTATCTTTAAAGTGAAAATGATTCTGATTATCAAACTACAAATGAAAAAACTCTAAGAAAAGTTACTGTCATGTTCAATTACAAGAGAATCACTTAAAAATTCCCTTTTAACAAAAATACTATGATTCATATGCAAGAGAGGAAAGGAACTTAGCCCACAAAATCCCAGGAAAGTATCTTGTATTGCTTTCAATACAATACGCCATTCACACGTAAAAAAAAAAAATGAAATTATCAGAGGAAATAATTTGTGAAAAAAAAAATTTTAATTAAATGCTATAGAATTATACTACCTAAGACAACTATTCAAACCTGAATTCTTTCACTAAGTAAATATCAATCCTCTATTTTATCTTTTCTAATACTATGTTTATATTAAAATCTTTGATAAAAAGAAACTTTCATATTATAAACTAAGAACACATGATATTTACCTAGCATTTACTTCAAGGAAAGAAAAACCCTATAATAAACATATGTTAAGGGTGTTTACAAAGGAAGCACTCAATTAAGCAGTATGCCTATTTTTTAACTGAAACAGGCAACCAAATTCCTTATCTATAGCTAGACTCTCTTATACTGCCACATTAAATAATTCTTCCTAAAGTCAAAGTCTGTTGATGATCAGCTTCTTTCACAGCTACACTGCAAAATTCTTGATGATATACTCTCATTGTAACATTATTTACAAATTAATTTATTCATCTTCCTGATGCTATAAATATAAATATAGGGTGCTATATTTTAATGTTTCAAGTTATCAGTATCATTATACAAAATATATCCATCTACAACAGAAATTATTCATTTTATTTCTCTTTACATTGGTGATTCTTTGACAAATTCACAACCAACCTGAATAATGGAAACAGCTCTACCTTGGCAAACAAAAGCAGAAAAATTACAGCCATGGCCGTGTAGAAGCTCTATATTTCACTGCATGCTTAAACTTTACTCAGCAAAACTTTTAATTCTTTGGGCAAGGCAGGAGAGAAATAGCACCTAAACACCAAATATTAGTATTCTCATATTATCCAGAGATAAAGAATGTACAGGAAAAATAGAAAAATATTTTGGCAAAGGTGATTGATTTAGATTGTTTAAGTAGAAACTGTTCTCTTTTGAAGTTTCATTAGTTCCCCTCCTTTCTTTTCTGTCATAAATGGCACTGTGATAGAGATTTCACTATTTCTACCTACTTTTTTAATTTAATGTTTTAAGTTAAGATTGAAAATTGAAAAACTCATTTTAGAGATAATATCAGAGGCTTCCAACTTCTAACTAGTTACTGAGTTCCCTAAATGGGTTTTACCAATTTACTTATAAAGTAAATAGAACTAAATTTTGATAATTATTTTTTAAATGCCTATGATTTCCAAATACTTTCAGAATCAGCTTAAATTTTCACATGACATTTTCATCATGAGTATATTAGAAAGATAAAGCCCTAAACCTACATTTCAAGAAATATTACCCTTCAAGTGATCAATTTGTATTCTAAAATCAATATAATTAACTTAATAGTAAATAGCTCCCTTTGTCATACATTCTTTTCCCCAAAAGTTTCCATTTAAAGACCTATTGCATCCTTTAAATACATACAAAGAAATTTTAAACCTAACCTTTTTTATTCCAAAATCAATGCAGTTACAAGGTCTTATGTGGATTTGGGAGATAACATTTCAGTATTACCTTATTTCTGATTACTCCAACTAAGCTTAACAGTAAAGTTAATCTCTAATATAATGTTTGCATACTGAGACTTCACGCCAGATTTTCACTGCACTGTAAGAGAGTTAAATTTCTTTTCTATCTCAAAAGAAGTATTTCACTTCCTTTCTTAACCTACTGTATATCTATAGAACCCCATCTGTTAAGAACTGATCTGGCATACATCACTACTGCTGCAGAGTCCAAACTGGTTACACATTCAAATCAGTTTCCAGCTTGTGAGAGCTCTACTGTCTCTTATCATGTTAAAATTATTAAGTAAGCATACAAATACTTACTAAAATAACCTAATATCACATCATCTAAGGTAAAAATGGTATTGGTTAGGTGAAAACTGGAAAAAAAACTTTATATGTGTTCTTTCAAATTTACAGAAATACAGTACCTGCTAACATATTAATATATTTTCAGATTTCACCTTGCTTATTTTTTAAAAAGGCAAGTACTGACCTCCTATTTGCAGCTGGTTAAAATTAAAACTACCAAAAAACAATATTTCTGTTACTGTTTTGAAAAGAATTTGGTTATATCGAGAGGACATTCCCCCCAAACTTACAATGACTTTTGTGGTGATTCATCTGAAGGGTAGACAGACTAGAAAGAGGTGTATTCTATTTAAACAGTAACAATATAACAAAGCAAATACATATTCTCCTATCTTTGACTTGACGTACTAGCAAAAAAGAAAAAAAAAAGCAGCTTTAACTTTTCTGTGAATTTAAGAGGTTCATAAAACATAGACATTAATCCATGTCTCAGGACACCACTGCTGTAGCTGCAGCTTGCTTTCAGTTTTCCAATAGATCAAATAAAAATAATTGCTTGGCTGAAAAATCAGACTACACGGGAGTTATAAAATCCCCTTGTAAGCATATTTTTATATTTTTGTGACTCCACACCAAATACAACAGTCAACTGATCGCTCTTGATTTAAGCCTTGTCTTCCAAAACCCTACCTTAACAGTATGTCAAGGATTAGATATTGCAGAGGAAACCGTTTTAAAAGCTTTGCTGCAGCAAAAACTGCATTTGCAAAACATTAAAAATGAACTACTCTTAATTATCCGCAATTTATGATTCTGCTCTTTATTTCTTCTCATTTCTTCCCCTGACATCTTGAACGCTTCTTAGCCTCTCTGTAGATAGCGCAAAACATTAAGTCATACACAGTTCTGCGGTAACTCTTTCTTATCATGAAAGAAACCAAAACCTATGGCTGCATTTAACACCTTTCCTTTAGTCTTTATCCACATGCCACGCTCTCGGAAGGCAACCATAGAAACCAACCTGTATGATTTGGTGCCCTCACATTTTAACACCTTGTGTGCACCAAAAAAAAAAAAGAGAGAGAGACTAAGAGGTCAGCATATGCAGGGCAATATTTCAAAGAAAGAAGGCTGCCTAAAAAGAGATGGGGCGGGGAGGGGGGGTGGGAGATACAGCCACAACACTCTCCATCACAGCCTCTGAATATATTTAAAGGCAGATGCAAAACTGCATCATTTTCCTCATTCGAAAACATCACACCCCAGCTGCTCAAGTTAGACCTAATGCGCTTCTCACATTTCAGTAGCACGGGGGAATTTAGGCTCCAGGGGCAAGGCTTTCATCCTCAGAGAGCGACACCACAGACAAGAGTGTAGAATAAAGAACCCCAGAGAAAAGGAGGCCTTCTCTCCCCCTAACTAAACTCTCAAGTCGACGCAAAACCTGCACGGCAAGGAATGATTTCTACTCATAGTCAGGGGAAGTGATAATAAGCGGTGTTAAGTTGGGCACTGCACTCAGGTGGCAGGAGAGGATCAGAGGAGAGCGGGGTGGTGGCGTGGCTACGGGTGCGCGCAGGCAGGTCACCCGCTGGGCAATACCCGCCCGACGATCGGTGCTCCTAGGGACGCGCTGCGTGTGCGACCCCGGGGGTGGAGGTGTGTGGGAGCGAGAGGCTGGGGAGGGAGGCTACGGGGACTGGGAAGCAGAAGGAGAGCACGCCTTTTCCCTTACCAGGTTGAGCACCGTCTCCACGATGTCCCTGTTGCTGACCTCTCCGACCTGTATGAGTCCAATCAACACTGCGAATTTCATCCGGATGTTGCGGATCGGCACGGAAGGGTTAATCATCCCCGCGGGCAGCACCACCGAGCCGGAGCCGGACGCCCCCCTCAGCTCTCCCATCCCGCTGCCCCCGCTGCCGCCACCGCCGCTGCCCCCGCCGCCTCCGCCTCCGGCCCCGACGGCGATGAGCCCCACGGGCTGGGGCTCGAGCCCGGGGCCTGGGCCCGGCTTCTCGCTCGCCATTTGTCCCCCTCCTGGGGAGAAGGGAAGAGCAGAGGCACTGCCTCCGCCGGTACCGTTATACCTGCCTCGGCCCCCGCCCCCCGGCCGTCGCCTCGGAGCCCCAGCATCCACCAGCGCCGCGGCGCCGGGCCCGCTCCCGCCTGCGCGTCAGTCCGGCCCGCTCCGGCGCCCTCCCCGGCGGAGGCGGTGGGTTATTCCCAGGCTTATTCCTGGAGGTGGCTGCGCCGCTAACGGCTGCCCGGCGAGCGGCAGTGCCCGCCCAGCAGCTGTACCGCTGCCGCCGCCGCTACCGCTGCCTCCTCTCTCTCCCCCTCCCAGTCCGTCCGGCCCGGCCCGCCCCCCGCGGAGATGCGGCCGCCGCTCCGAAAAGCCCTGGGGGCGAGCAGCTGGCCACGACGCTGGCCGGTGCTGAAGCTCAGGCTGTGGCCGACGCTACTGACGCTGCCGCTGCCGCTGCTACGGGAACCACTGTTGTTGTGAAGCCCCGACGCCGCCGCTCACTCCGCCATGTTGCCGCCCCCTGCCTGCGGTAGCGGCCACTGCGCTTGCGCAGAGCCCCGGGGGCGGAGCCCTCGGTGCACCCCCTCTTTTGCCCTGCCCTCCTTCTCTTTCCACCCACCCACCCCGACACCCCTCGTCCCTCCCCCAACCACCCTGAACGGATAGACAGGTGAGCAGGTGCACGGGGACCAATGCCAGACCCTGGGGCAAGCTGGGGGAGGCGGGGCGGGTAGTGGCTTCCTTGTACTTTTTCCCTTGAGGGTGGATTCTCCCTGTGGGGAAGGACACAGTGAGTGTGTGTCTTGCCTTTGCTGTCCTTCCTTCAGTATCCTTTTGCTAAGAGGAGGTTTATCATCTTCGTCTTCATCATTGCATCCAGCAGCTGCCACTGCCAGTGCCACGTGCCTTGTAAGGTAGGGGAGTGGCAGACGACCTCTTTCTGCCCCTCTTCGCCCTTCCTCGCAGTACTGCCCGCCTAGCCCCCCCAACCCCCAATTACCCAAATAAAAAGTGGCTGGCAAAGCAGAAACAAACGCACCATGGGGAAAGATCTTGCGTTGTCGGGGAAGGATACAGATGGAGTGTAATGGGGCTTTTTCTACAGCCATGGAAGAGGCTGACACCTGCACACACAGGCACGACTTAAAATAGAACTTGTCAAACAGTGATCAGCTCTGGATGGAGCTCTGAACAACAAACAGCTCTTGAACTCACCTACCAACCTAAAAAGCCTGCACTGAGTGACACTATAGATAGCGCAGTTTGGTGGGAGCTACAAATCCCACATTTCAAAAATCCCTTGCGATTTTCAGGTATGATGTCAACTAATGATGCCTCCCTTTTCCTTAGTCACTTACAGTTCAGAGGTTTTTGAAATTATCTAAAAATATAGGTAATCTTCATGGCCAGTCTTAATGTATGAAAAAAGTAGATTACTGTATCTGCATAAATATAAAACAAAATATTACTGCTTCAGTAAATTAAAATTGATACAGTAATCTTGCTGCTAGTCCTGAATTAAAACTAAGCAGGCATGACTGCTGTTTTCTCCTTTGAAATGAAGGATGTCATTTTCTTTAATATTTCATGAAATATGCCCTTTTCAATAAAGATATATTACAAGCCACCAGAAATATTCGGTATCTGGAGGCATATTCAAGTCATTCTAATTGTCATCTCAAATAAAGAGAGTCAATATACAAATCTATCATAACCCAATTTGTTATTACTCATATTTAACTGGACCAACTAGTCAAGTTAACTCTCAGAATATTGGAACATGGTAAAATTCTAAGGTACTGTACGTTATGTATAACAAAGCTCCTCAAATCCAGCACTTACAATTAGTTTTTAGTTGTTTCAAACTTGCGCTGAAAAATGACTGATTATTAGACAAAAAAAAAATCCTTTTGAAAGAAGTGGTAATTGGTATGTCCATTTATATTAAGTAGCAATTGAATTATAAAATGCTTAAATTATCAAAACTGTTTGAAAAACTTGCAAAACCAGTAACTTTTAATAGTGCGACTTAGATATGCTATAATTTAAAAATCCTGTGACATATATAACTGCCTATAATATTTTATTTATAGTGTTATCTACTTTTGTGAGCACTATTTTCATTTGTAAATCTAAAATGATATATCTTCAATATGAAAATCCAGACTGAAATATCATCACACTAGCTTTTTTTCACCCGCTGTGTGTAAAAAAATATGGCAGCAGGTTCTGTCTCTTGCTATTTTTAGATTTCTTGCATGAGTGCTTTGAGAGACAGTGACAACCTGAACTTTCTATTTCCTTTCCAAATGAATAGCTTAATGTCATTTTAATATTTTCACTTTAATTTTCTCTGTTTTGTTTCTTAAGCAGTGTGTGTGTGCACTTTGGTTTTTTTCTCATTTGTTCATTTTGTATTTGTTCATTTTCCTTTAGTGGAGATAGGTAGTGGGTAAAAAGGATATCACTTTTTCAAAGTAGGAAAACTCTACTTCCGTTGCATACTTCATTCTACATAAGCGCTCTCCAGTACACTGTCAGCTCCTTGAAAGCAGTGTGGTACTGTGGAAAGTGCATAGGCTTTGGAATCATCCTCACAACTTACTGCCTGTGCAGCCTACTCAATTTATTGAGCTAGTCTCCTCATTCACTAACAGGAATGAGAATACCCATCCCATAGGGAAGTGAGAATTCAATGAATTACTTGAAATCAGCAGCCAGCACATAATAAGTGTGTCCTTGTACCCTTAGTATACAGACACAATATGTGTTGAATGACCTATAAACACATGTAAAACCAATTATAACCACATACAAGTCTCTATAATTGTACAGTTATATGTTTTCAATATTATCCCCCAAAGCATAAAGTTTAGAAAAGACAGCAGGTTTGTTTCCTTTTAGCCTACAAAGCCTATTTCCCTGTAAATGTACAAATGGCTTAGTGTTTGCATTAACAATATTTTGAAATAAAAGACAGTTACATAATAATAGAAGCTACCAAAAATGTTCATTTTTTAAATCTTCAGATTAAAACCATTGTATGTGGTGAATATTAATTTTGCATACATTTTTACTTGAATAGATGCATACCCCTACTTTCAAAGGACAGTTTTTCAAAGGTAAGAAGCCCATGAATCTGACTTTTAAGAAGCAGTATTTTTTTAATTTTAATTTCGGTACTGTTAACATACTGTTAACATACAGTGTTAGATTAGTTTCAGGTGTACAATATAGTGATTTGATATTGCAAAAGACATATCAAGAAGCAATATTGCACAGTGGTTGAGAACACATGCTTCAGGTTTAGTAGAACTTCTTGCATGAATTGGATTCCAGTTCCTGAGCCACTTACCTGTGTAATCTTGGGCAAATGACTTATCTTCGAAGCCATAGTTTATCCAACCCAAACTAGAGATTCATAGGATTAAAGAACAAAAGGTACTAATACATTTAAGGTATGAATGTAGTAGCAAGGGTCAATAAATAATGTTTTCATTCATTGGCGTTGGGAAAACACAATGCTGTGGTTATTTTTGTGTCTTCAGCACCTAACATGGCTGGCTTGTAATTTACACTGAAAAAAGGTGTTTAAAAAATGAATGAATAAAAAAAAAAGAAGAAGAAGAAGGTAGCGGGAGGGGAAGAATGAAGCGGGGGAAATCGGAGGGGTAGACGAACCATGAGAGACGATGGACTCTGAAAAACAAACAGGGTTCTAGAGGGGAGAGGGGTGGGAGGATGGGTTAGCCTGGTGGTGGGTATTGAGGAGGGCACATTCTGCATGGAGCACTGGGTGTTATGCACAAACAATGAATCATGGAACACTTCATCTAAAACTAATGATGTAATGTATGGGGATTAACATAAAAAAAAAAAAAAAATAAAAAAAAAAAATGAATGAATGAAAACAGCAATTCTCCAGGCTAAATATCCCCATTCCCTTGACCTGTTCTTTAGAGAATGGGTTTCTAGCTGCCCTCTAAACTTTATCTGAAAAAGTGTTCAGGTAGGTAGGTTTGGGCCAGTACAAAACAAAAGGTAACTCTTACCCAAACCTCAATCTTTAGAAATATAACTCCTGTTAATGTAACCCCAAATCGATTCAGTTTTGTTTGGCTCTAGGTTTTATAGCAAAGTGACACCAGTGATTAATGTAATAAACCAATGATTCCTGTTTGGCATACGGTAGGTTCCCAAATAATTTCAGTTCCATTACCCTCTCATGTTAAAATTCTTATCAACTGAAACACCAAGGTTTTTGTTTCATTGTTATTGATCTCATTTTGTTTGTAGACATGTTGCTGCTAAGCAGCAACACAAACCTCACATATAGATTTTGAGACAGAAAGTGCAAAATTGTATATACATTTTTAAACTTAAATTAATTCAATTTTTATCTTATTCAATTTTTCTATTTAATTTTCCATTTAAATTTAATTTGCTGGGAATTTCTTAATCCTATTTTTATCATGCAGAAAAAATTGTCTTATTATTGTATTGTCTTCAAACTTCAGCACAGTCCTTCTATATCTTCATCCAAATATTTGATGGAACAGGATAAAAACAGCTCTATAGTCACTAGAAACATTCTGATTGAAATCAATTTACATTTTTCAAACTGTAAACCTCAACCCATTAGTGAGCCATGAAATAGATTTAGTAGGCTGCAAACAGCAGTTTAATGAAACAGAATGGAAAATATCAAGGGGCATCTATTATTTTAATTATATACACATATATACACATACATATGTACATGTGTGCTTACTAGGTAATCATGTAAAATGTATCTTTTACTGTAAGTCATAACCAAAAAGTTTGAAAATCACTGATTTGTTTATAAGCACCTATTTGGTATAATCCTTCAACTATTAAATAGCTACCATCCTCTGCTAACAACCAGCTCATGTTTCTCTAAGTTGTGCAGAAGAATATCATAAGGGAACTTGACAACTGGCTAGTTGAAATCCAGATTCACTGTCTCTGTGTCTGGGCAAAATTAAAGTAAAAACTCTAAAGAGATGTGAATTATTACCAATTTTTCGAATAACTACAACATAAACAAGAAA